TGATTTTGGTGATGTTCTTTGAACTAGCAATGCTTGAAAGGTAATTAATTTGGTAGCTAATCATGATTGAGTTATTAGTACCGATTATATGTTACTGTTGTAATTAAATATAACTATTGAGAGTATTTTAGACAATAAATATCAAAATGAACGTATGCTCAAACAAGTTACTTTAATAGATTTATCACCAAACAAATCCACGTATAAAGACCGGCCCTAAATTTCCATTTAAATAACTCTATATGCATACAATTTTATTTGTAATGTCAAAAAAACACTTACAAAACAGGGAAATGTAAGCCCATGATTTATTTTACCCAATCACTATTCCCTATCCCCCAAAAAAAAAAAAAATAGAATCTAGCAAAACCCAAGGGCCCTAAGAGGTGACGAAGACATAAAGTAAACTTCCTTGTAGAAATCAATATTATTATGGATTGTTATACATATTTTTACGTATTTTTATTTCATGCATGTCACCAAAATATCTTATTTTTCATAATTTTATGATTTGTAGAATACTGATTATTATTTAATATTATTTTTTGAATTTTATAGGATGATGATCAGAATTCAGCAGCTCACGATAGTCTTAAAGGGGAAGTCCGAATTTATGAGATACGTAAATGGTCTTTAACTCTTACTGTTTTTTAAACTTAAATTTAAATTTTAATAAAAATAACTCAAAAATTTCCTAAATATATACCAAATTAAGAAAAACTCAAATTTTTACTGAAATCATCAATAATGAAATTTCATTCACAACAACGAGCTCAAAGAACGTTCGAAAAATGTCGTTGGTCACATTTGTACACAAGAATGATCATTTAAGACTATGTAGCTTGCTCCAAATATTGTAAGATATATAATTTGGTGATGGCACTATACAAAAAAAAAAAAACCAATTCAATATCATATCCAGAAATTATTATTTTTAAAAGTCGAGTTATACTTTTTAAAGGTAAAATTATAATTGATTTAGATAATTAATAATCAATCATAAATTTTATAACTTCTCACTTGCGAGTTTTAACTTGACCTTTAAGATTAATAACTTGACCTTTAAAATTTAGAATTTTCATGATTATTTACAAATTAATCATACGTTTTGAAGTTGTAATTTATATCTTCAAAACATTATTCTTTGTCCTTAAAATATTTTGATTGTTGGTAATGGTACAGTCCCTCCTACAATCCCTCCTTTCTACATTTTAACGTTACACGCTTATCATTCGTAATTAATTTGGGTTTTGGTCCATTCTTCTAATGGATATATACGACGATACATCATGCATGCTCATGCCCATTCATCCTCCTATTTTGGGTTATAAGCACATTAAAGTTGTCAGCAATCTTGAGTTATTATAAATGGTAAGGAAGACGAGTTATAAATTTAGACGTTTTGTATTTAAATTTTGACAATTTTTTAGTGGTATATTATAAAAAAATTATCCGTCATAAATATTCTAATCCTTGTATAGATGACTTGCCTTTAACCAAATCAAAGAAAGAATTAGACGTGATATGCATAAACTGGCTCGAACAATCTTGACCGTTGAACCAAAAATATAGCTATCAGCCTCCTCATTTTTTGGGTTCAACATGTTGCAAGCAGAAATTTAAATAATGGGGAAATACTATCGATTCTAAATTTGAGATACCAAATGATTTTTTAAATGAATATAGATCAATAGATGAGTTAGCCACATTCATTTTTTTTAATGGGACACACTGATCTAATGATTCTTATTAATTTATGATCCATAATTGGGGGTCAATTGCACCTGAGATATGCCACTTGTTGAACTTTCATCCCTAAGGTTTTAATTTGTCCTCCATATTAACACATTGACTCTCTTTAGTCCTTACCCTTAATTGTCGTTCAAATAATAAACGGAAAATATCATGTACATGTATGTCACACGCAACTTTTGAGGGATATTTTTGATATTTTATAACTATTTATACATCCAAACACAATTATCCTTTATATGTATATATTAAACATGAACTCAAACACCCAATTTCATCTTCTTTTCTTTTCTCTCTCTCTCTCTCTCTCTCTCTCTCCTAACCGAGTCTCCACTCCCAAAACCCAACACAAACACAACAAAAAATCACAAATACGCACAACACAAACCCACATTATTACTGCGTCTCCACCCCCAAACTCAACACATCTAAACTCTAACACAAACACAACAGAACAGAGAGAAAGAGATGTACAAGAGTGACGTATTCTTTGTCGGTGACGGTGTGGAGAAGATCGACGACTGTTGTGGTGGCAATAAGGGTTTTGAATCGATGAAGGGTATTGCTCAATTGAATTCTAATTGTGAATTTCTCTATAGATCTCCCTTTTGAATTGTGTCTTGTTTTCTAAAATTTCATTGGGGACATGAGAATTGATGGGTCTAGTATGGTGGTGGTGGGGAGCGAGATTTGTGGTGGTAGAGGTGGGTTTACTGGGTTGGCTTATGAGTGAAGGTGGAGGTGGAGGTGGAGCGAGATCTCTGTTACTCTCTTTATGATGGGTTGTGTGTGTGTGTCGAGTGTTTGTGTGTGTGTGAAAAAGGAGATGTGAGATATAGAGAGAGAGAGAGAGCAAGCGATAGAGAGATCACTTGGATTGAGTGGTCATCACTGATGGGTTGGTTGTTGTTGGGGTGAGCCATACCAAAGAAGAGTTGGAGAGAGAGAGGTCGCTGGTTGAGATAGAGCAAGAAAAATAGCGTGGAGAGAGAGAGTTGGGGCTGCAATTCAAGTGGGGGAAGGTATGTGATTGTCAGAATTGGGGGATTACCGGCAATGTGTTGAAAGGGGAGTGTTACGAGTAATGGCGATTTTGTGCCCCATAGAATTATTTTTAATTTCTAGTTTTGTCCTATATTTTGAAATCACAATGACAAAAACACTTATTAATATTTTCATGTGCAAGACACGTGAAATTTTTCATCTATTATTTAGACGACAGTTAGAGATAAGGACTAATGAGTCACTGCATCAACATGGAGGATGAAATTGATGAAATTAAAATTTAAGTATGAAAATATAATAAATGACAAATCTCAGGGATCATTGATATAATTTACCCTAATTTGAGGTCCCTGCCATTGCTCTGAAAAATCACTCATCATCGCACTAGATGTATTAGTCAAAAGAAGGCATTCAATTGAAAATTGAATGTAACAATGAGTGTATTTTGATACTTTGTGACAGGCATCCACTTTTACCCTTTGCTCATAAGTTCAAGGAGGTTTAGTGCAACGGTTTAAACTATGAGGAGGTCGGGTACAAATTAGCCTAACTAAATGGGTCTTTTTTGGCATTTGACCCTAAATTTAAAGATGTGAAAAGTCGCTCACGTGCAAGTGACATGAAATATAATATTTCTTTTATTATTATTTTGCATGGCACCTATAATAATATTTAGTGTTTATAAACATAATATTAGAATTTTAAGGATAAATTACACTTTAACCGCGTCAACTGTGGCTTTTTTTTACATTGTCCCCTTAACTATTATGTTTTTCACATTATATTTTCAACGATGTGTTTTTTTTTTTTGCGCTATAGGATGTCTATGTTTGCTCTTACTATTCTCTTGAGTTAGGATACTGGTAACCGTAGTCCGAGCAGATTTAAAATATATCTTTTGAGAAACAAAAGTGACTAACCTTTATAGGGTATAAGAATATTGAACTTAAAAACTTTTGAATTACCAGAGTTCAGAGTCAGTTTCAAATCGTCTCAATTATTACTACTCGTTACAAATTTGACAGAAATCTATTTTATTTTATCCCTAAGCTTTGTGATATCTTTCAATTTGTAACAGAAATCTATTTTATTTTATCCCTAAGCTTTGTGATATCTTTCACTTTATTTAGATGCGATCTCAATTTTCGTTTAAAAAGATAGAGATATTCACATTTAGAGCATTGTGAAATAATTCAAATAATTGAGGAAATAATGTAAAAATTTTAATAATTTAATTGACAAAGTCAAATTAAGGTCATAATTAAAAGAATTAAAATTAAAATTTCTTTTAAATTTTTTTAGATGAAAATCATTATATTTAAAATCTTCAAGGTCCAAAGTGCAATTCGCCCAAATAATTTTCTCTCTATTATTAACGACCACTTTAGGTGACCCCAACGAGCACTGTCGTTTTGAAACACCGCTTTTTTGGTAGACCCAAAAAAAGCCACCACCTTTTTTCATTTATCGCTGGTGGCCAGATTCTCCGCCTGTAGCCGGCGAAATTCTCGGCCACCTCTTCAAAATCCGGCGACCCTCGATTTCCCGGTCAGTATAGTTGTGAAATTGAAACGTTTGATCATTAGAAAAATCGATAGATTTTTTGTTAACGATTGCAGAGTAGCTGATGCGTACGATTATGTGAATCATAGACATCGACTGATAATGTCAATGGATTTTTTTATTTCGTTTGGTTTCAATGAATTAGACAGAGTCTGTTTGAGGAGCTTTCGACACGATGAGTGAGGTATTTGAGGGATACGAACGCCAATACTGCGAGCTTTCGGCGAATTTGTCTAAGAAGTGCACGTCAGCTAATCTTCTCGATGGAGGTCTGACGAAATCCTCGTTTAATTCGCTTCTGGTTGAATTTACCACATCTTTACGTACATGTACTTACGTATCTTCTATGTTTGTGTGTGTGTGATGTTTCTGTGTTCATTGGTTTACATGCTTGTGCGTTTGATTTTGGAGTTCTGGACTTCGGTTGCACACGAGGATGTAAAAAGAGGTTTTTATTACTCTATATAAATGGGATAATGGGTAGCTCACCTCCTAGTAGATTAAGCTTGCTAGAGTTGGAAAAAGTAAAAGAAGGAAAGGAATTTGTTAAGTTGAAAAAGAAAAAAAGGGTCATTCAAAATAATACTATTGAATTTGTTAAGTTGATTTGTTGAAGCAAGTTCTGAAATATGGATAGGAATTTGAATTTTCCACACATTTATTTTACCTCTTCGGTGGAGATGGGTGGGGTGGGGATGGGAGTTGGAGGTAAAGAAAGGTATTTTTTGCTAATGTCGAGAATGATTTAAACATCAGAGGCAAAAGAAATGGAATTCTTTTGCTCATGCCGAGAATCATTTAAAGATTCATCAGATCCACCATGAATTTTCTACAAGAATGAGAAGTTTACTGGTCAAACCTCACTCAAAGTGGAGGGCTTTTAAGATGGCTAAATTTGAAACCATTGATCTTCTCATAAGCTTGTGGGTGTAATATTTTCCGTCACCACTTTTCATTAGTGTTGAACTTACACTTTTGGGAATAACTGGATGATGGTGTGTAATATTATGCATTATGATATTTGAGGTGGCTTCAACTTTTTCACAAATGCTATCTGGTAGACTCCATGTTCCAAGTTACTTTCTTTGCTTCTTTCGACTTCAAAGTGTAAGCAAATCTGAAGCAAAGCCCCTCCTATTGTTGATAAATCAAAGAACTTTGTAATTCCTAACAATACTTTGATGATGAAGTTAATAAGGATCTGGCTATTTATCTTCTATTAGGTTCCTCATCACTTGATTCATTATAAATCTTGCTGTTATTGCATTTGGGTTAGTTTTTATTTTTATTTTTATTGTGATTGGAGCACAGGGGCTTCACTTCAGATTTACCACTTGTTTCACTTACATTGCATTCTTTATTTTTCACAAGTATGACTGGGGTGCTGGGGTTTTGAAATTTGATTCTTTTGGGTGAAGTCTAACCCTTCTGTATTGTTTGCTAATTTCTTCTTAAAAATTACATTGTAAAGCTTTTGTTTTTATGTTAATTGTGAACATTGATATTGTGAAGTTATATGTCTTACTGAAATTCAGAGCAAAAGAAGCAAAATGTTTCAGAAATAAAAGCTGAACTGGATGAAGCTGAATCTTTGGTACCATATTGATTTGTTCTTTCTGCCAAAATTGTTTTTTTTTCCTTTTTCTTGGAGATCAATTTAATATTGGCTGATCATTTATCCAGCTCCGGAAAATGGACCTTGAAGCTCGAAGTTTGCAGCCAAATGTGAAGGCTGTGCTTATTGCTAAGTTAAGGGAATATAAATCTGATCTGAACAATTTGAAAAGTGAAATTAAACGAATTGCGTCAACTAACTTAAACCAGGCTGCACGAGATGAGTTATTGGAATCGGGAATGGATGATGCATTAACGGTACATCTTACAGATTATAGTTTTGTAATTCTGATGCTTCTCATAGCAGCTAACTGAAGGCCTTTTTGTGGTTTAGCGGGGTGTTTCTAAAATGGTAAATGTTTGGAATAATATAATTCCTGCAAAAGAGAAATTGGAGGTTTTACATGTTTGCAGGAGCTCTAATTAAACGATAAAGTTTCTTGAAAATTGAATTTTTTGCGGTATTCTTCTTGTTGGAAATGGTTATTGACAATGCTGCCTTACAAGCTCTTTGTGCCTGATCCAAGTGCTAGAGAATCCAAGTCAATTAATCATTTTGAATCTCCCATCATTATGTATTCTAAATTCTCCAATAACTGCAATAGGTATCGACCAATCAAAGAGAGAGATTATTAATGTCGACCGAAAGATTAAACAAGTCCAATGATAGAATAAGGGAAAGTAGGAGGACCATGCTGGAGACAGAGGACCTTGGTGTTTCACTTCTTCAAGATCTGCACCAACAGCGACAATCTCTGTTACATGCCGATAACACGGTATATTTGATTTGATATTCCTTGCAGTGATGCTGTCCTAAACCAGATACAAAAGTGTACTGTTTTTTTGATACCAAATTCAACTTCTTTGTGTCTATCTTCAATATGGCCAACTTTAGTTTTAAGGCATGCCATATCATATGCTATTGTGCTAAAATCCACAGTGTATCAATCTGATTGTTTTCCTCTTTCCTGTTTCAGCTTCATGGAGTGGATAACAACATGAGCAGGAGTAAAAAAATTTTTACTGCCATGTCAAGAAGGATGAGCAGGAACAAGTGGATTATCGGAGCCGTGATTGTGGTCCTTCTTGCTGCTATCATCTTAATTTTATACTTCAAGCTTTCAAAATAGCCAAGACACTCTTTTCTTGGGTTTGTGTTGCTCTGTGAAGTCACGAGTTTTTGGCTTCTCTTTTTTTGTTGTGCTTAGTTTATTGAAGTTCTGTTGAGTGGATAATCACATATAATGACTCAGATTTCTGTTATTTTGTGTTTTTTTTTTGTGTGTGGTCATTTTTTGTTGTTTCATTATCGAATGAGAATGAGATCAGAATTTTGGTAGACTGCAAATGTTAATATAGATTATATCGAAACATGTGAATGGAATGGGATGATTCTGCCAACATTAGATGAAGCTTGGCTTCGATTTCACTTGTGACATTTTCTGATGGTGATTTTTTTTTTTTGAACTTCTATGGGTTTTGGTGGAGTCAAAATAGTAACTTCTATTGCGCAGGAGCATCTTGCTCGTCATCACCATCCTGAGCAATAAAAAAAAGATGGAGATTTATGGGGGATTGTAGCAATGGTACGTGAATGTACAACATTTTACATCATCTGTGCCAGATGGTACCTTAAAAGTACAAAAATTTTTCTCAAGAAAGGGAGCAATTTTCAACAGCCAGCCACCCCTCTAACTTCACTCTTTTTGGAAGGAAAAAGAGGGGACATAATCCAACAACTTACTACTGATTAGTTGGTCTAATGGGTAACAATTCAAATTTTTTCATTTAATGTTTGGTTTTAAGTCTCCATGACTACGACAGTTCGGTAAAATTAAACTCACTATATAACGCCTAAAACACGTAACTTTAGCCTCGACGTAGGTGCGATGAGGTCTCCTACAAATAGTTATGTGGTATTAAGGGACAATATTTTTTGACAAATATATGAAATCGCCTATAGGCATATCCATTTTAAGTAAAAAAAATAAAAATTCCAACGACTTATATGTCCCTTGCTATTTGATCAGCTCCTAAAAATGATAAAAGGTTACTGTGAGAAATTTAAGAAATAAAAGAAGCTGGGGAAGAGTAATGAAATGGTGACAGAATATAATTGATATATGTTCCGATAGGCCTGCCCCCAAATGGGGATGTAGCTCAAATGGGCCCGCTTTGCATGCGAGAGGTACGGGGTTCGATCCCCCGCATCTCCAATTCTCATTCTTTATTTTTGCATTTTGTATCAAATGGCACTCGGTTTATATCTTTTAAGTTCCAAAAAAAATTCCAATAGTTTCGAACTTTTTATTTTTGGAATGATATATTTATGGAATCTCTATGAATAGAATCAAACCTTATTTCATGGTATTTACATGAGGTTCCTCTTTTTTATTCTTAAGAAAGTCTCCGAGAGGGTTTAGTTGATTCATAATTTATGTTTCATTTTTTGTTTCCTTTTTGTTTGTTTCGAGAAATATATGATTAATTTTGATTCTTTTTTTTTCTCTTGATTCTTTTCCTATCGAGATGTATAGATTCATGAATCTATGTGTCTATATAGATTCTGTTTATAGATTAACGAAAATGTGCAAAAATTCTATTTGCCTCTGTCATTCTATGAGTCTCTTCCTTTTTGCATATGACATCGTCACTCCCTTTGGCAGCATCCACTAATTCAAAACTTAATTTGAAAGTCATATTTCAAATCCGACCATCTAAAAACTAACGAATGACAAGTGTTTTTTTTTGTGTAGATTTTATTTCAATGGGAACTTGATGAGTCGATCCACATTGATAAAGTTCAAAGAAATGGTGGGTCATTAATAAAGAATCGATTTTTTCCAAACCACAATGCTAGTAGATGGCCCGCCTCCACTTTAATTTTCATTCAATCTAAGCAACATTTTTTTTTAAGAAGAGGCTCGGCTCGTTCTGCCATTAGTGCCTCTCCTTCGACTAGACCTTTCTTTAATTGTTTGGGAAATGGTCTTTCTGCTCCGATCTCATTTTGGGTTTACCACTATAAGGGTTAGCTGGCTCTCTTTCCTTTTCTTAGTTAAACCGCACATTGAAAGTATACAGATTAAAGCCCCTTGACTAGTAAGGGACTACGAGCAACTCACACTAACTTCTTACCTAAACTCTTCCAACTAAATATGATAAAGCCTATATTTGTATGTTTTCCATTTTGTAACCTGCAAATACAAAAGGGGGTATAGCTCAATTGGTATTGGAAGAACACTTGTTTTGAATGCCAAAGCACTGGGTTTGATCCCTCCATTTCCAAGTAACCTTTATCTTCCTGTCTTCCTGGAAATTCTCAGTTTTTTCAATATGGCATAACAAAAAGAAGAGCAATAATAATAAATTTTTTTTGGCCAAACTCAATATTCAAGAACATTTCGTAATTCCTTGATTAACATGATCCACAAACTAAGGAAACATTCTTACACCCAGATCTTATTATCTTTCATTATTGCTGAAGTTATTCCTCTTCTTCAACATTTTTCCAGGTTCTGATCTGTCTCCTACTTCATCAAATTGACCCAGTTACCTGTCTTCATCAAACTATTATCTATGCCCTTGACAAGACCGACCCAAGGACATTCCATCAATCTGAGATCCTCCACATTCTGCTAAGAATAATATAACCATCCCCAGGTTTCTACAGTATGGATTTGGAATCACAGGAAACACCAGAAACTGCTTTCATGACAAACTATATACATCAAAAAGCAACATCCACTTGAAATTTTTGTTTGACTCGTGGAGAATGACGATAAAATATAGTAAATGGGAGCTTGGATGCCGTGTTCTTTCAGGCCTATTTGGTGGTAGCTTGAATTTGCTCTTGCATCTCTGACCTTATATGTTTATCCCAATCAGGTCTTCCACAAATCAATCTTTCTAAAGTTGTAATCAGATTCAGCTCTTGGCTCATACTAAATTGTTTGATTTTTCCTCCTTGAATTCATTATAATCAGCAAGCAAGCTATCATTAACTTTGTCCTTCATGTTCTCCACCAATCTCCTTAGCACCTACATATAAAATTCCAAATGAAGACAGATTAATTAGAACAAGTTTTAGATTCTCTAATTTTTGTTCCTCCTATGTCCTATGCAACATTCCATCTAGGAAGAATAGTTATTTCAAAGTGTAGGGTTTATAATGGTCTAACCAACTCTGCAACATCTTGACGAACATCTTCAGGGACCAAAGCAAGCACTCGAGGGATAACAAAGCTTATGCTAATCTCTAACTGACCTTTAAGCCGGCTTTCGGTTCCCTGGCTATCACGGTACAGAGCTCCTTTTACACCAAGATCAAACTGAGAAGGCTTGAGGATGTCATTTAGGCCTTGGAGCTCCCATCTTATCTGCATAAGAAATGCTTGTGTTGATGTTACAATAGTTAGGACTGAAAAATCAATCAAGCACAAGTTTTGTGTGTGAGCAGTTGTTTTCACTGGTAGACTTACAATATCGAGCTCAAGAACCTTTGAGATATCACGAGGAACTCCGGGTGGGTAATCTATCCCTTCTGATTTACATCTCAAGCTCAAGTCAATCACTGGCCAGGCAGTAAGAAACAGGAACTTTATAGGTAGCATATAGATTTTCCACTCTTCCTGCATGAATATGATACTTCAGGCATCAGAAACCCAGAGAGAGGGAGAGAGACTCTTCCACCTAACTAAAGTTACCCCTTCCATACAGACCTGAACCTGATGTCCGAGATTTAGCAATTTTATCATTTTTCGTATACAATTGTATCATGTATTCTACCATCTAAGCCCCCCTCTGGCTGCGCGGGGGGGGGGGGGGGGGGCGCGGGGTAAGCAACATAGGAAAAACATATTGATAAGGATATCCATGTAAGTTGTGAAAAACACTCCTCAAATGATGAATGTATCCTCTGTGGCTGTGTCTCACAAGATCCTTTCCAAGTTCAGGCCTCAAAGTACAAATTTAATTGACCATTGTCATGTAGGTGGGCCCCAACTCTTCAAATCAGTGGATCAAATATTGTACTATTTCTTTCCTCTGATAAGAGTCACCAGGTAAGGTGTTATGTGCATAGGCCTTGGCAGAGACTAAGCAGCACTCAATTGAAACACTTATTTCCAAACTAGACAATGAAGCATCAGAACAAAAGAGAAAAATGCAATACAACAGCACTTTCAACAACTCCACACAATGTTATGCCTCGAGTATCTATTATACCATACATTTAGAAATTAGAAGTGCAGAAGTACAATATTGAGCCTTTAAGAGCACCATTTGTCAAGTTTCTAAGCAAGCGTAAAAAATTCACACTAGTTTCCTCAATCTTACATAGATCAACCTGAGTAGCCTTCAAAGTAGGCCACAAGAATCAATTCTCCATCTAATAGAGGTGTTGCACATAATGATCCAATTATGAACTTATCAACATATCTAGGGGTGTCAAACGTGTCGAGTTAAACAGGTGACAGGAGGAAAATATATAAACCTGTACACAACACGTTTAATAAACAGATAAAAAATCTAAATACGAACATGACTTGTTTAATAAACGGGTAACATGATACGACTCGTTTAATCCGTTTAATAATTATTAATTTATTGTTATATTAATTTTATTTAAACGGGTAAACATGTGATAAACGGTTTGACAAGTCTCACCCAAACATGACCCGTTTATTAAACGTGTTTAGCGTGTCAACCCGTTTATCACTCAAACCAGTTAAGATTTCACCCAAACTCGCTTAATTCGTGTTGATATGTGTCGGTTAATCGTGTCGTGTCGGATTTTGATAGCCCTAAACATATTAATGCATGAATTTTTCCCCTTTGTGTGAGAGTGCAAAAAAATAACTTTCGGAAGGTGCAAAATAGTAACATATTACACCTTACTGACATCTCAATTTGTGATTTCCACTTCAGCAGGCCGAGCTAGAAAATTTATGTGGGGAAAAGAACAAAATTATAAACTTATAAGTGCCCAAAATGGTTGTAAACCTTTGTTCCCATTTAGAGGAAGAACTTGGGAGTTAAAATTTTAAAATACAAGTAGTCTAAGAGTGAATTTATATATCTGTTTTCCTCCTGAAGGACCACGTTTGGGTTGACATCCTTAAATCTAATAAATGTTTCTGTTATAATTTTCAGTAATATAATACGGTTCGAAAAAAAGGGTAACATTCTCAAATTACTTTATTTTTCAATTTCAGATTAACTTTTTTATTTTACTTTTTCACTGTGGGAACCTAAGATTACTTTCTAATGATTCATAATGTGTGGCTTTTTTGATTAAATAGAGGGCCTACTTTTTTGTTCAAACATACCTGATCATGAATTGAGAATTAATATAATTTGAATTTATTCAATCAATTGCATCTATCAGTAGACAGAAATGTATGATTTGTACCTAAAAGGTATTTTGACAATTTCTTTGTATGGCCAAACAATAAACTCAGTCCCACACACACAGAGAATGAAGAAAAATAAGGCGTAGAGGAATGGAGGGAATGCACTGAAGGATCCCTTAAGAAAGAACAACTCTGATATAAGTCAATCCCTGACCTTTAATCAAATCCCGGTTCTTACAACAAAAGGAAATAGCGATGCTTGTGGTGATAAAGCATGTGCGTTTTGCTGACTTGTGGTGAAAATGTGGGCTGCTAGTGCTCACACAATATTAAGATGAACAAGCAAGAAATGCAGTTGTTCGGGGTAGTTAGCTTGAAAGGATAGGACAATCTTACAAACAGTGTAACAAAGTTCATGTTTACCAAAAAGAAAAGAAAAAAAACTCGATTATAATCTATCATTCGAAAAGATTACTATATTAAGGTGCAGGCCAACAAACTCCAACTGTTATACAAAGTAGCTGATTGACTCCAAGAACAGTGAATAAATAGGGTTTCGAAGACATGGTTGGTAAAAATGTGTTAAATTTGATGGCCTTAATCCATAATAGTGCAAACTATAATTGCTTTGAAGACTAGGGTTTCTAAGAACTAGGGTTACTAAGAAGCTAGCCCAAGGGATCGAATCCTATCACCTTCCACTGGAACAATTGGGGTAAAACCACAATTAGAACGAAATAGTGTGGAAGAAAAAGTGAAAGTTACCTCATTCAATTGTTGGCTTCCTTGTTTTTCAGGAAAGATTGCTTTGAAGACTCTGGGCTTATCCTCCAGATATTGATCGAAAGACGCCTGCCCATACAAATTCAACTCCATTTCAGTTCAATTCAAACTCAACAGTAAACGTGCGCACACCAACACACGCAAAGAGAGAGAGAGAGAGACCTGGGGGGATTCGAATAGAGGGCAATCTGTGCTAATAGAGGAAGAGTAAGTTGAAAGTTTCGCCGTCTGGCTCTTTATCGTCAATGGCTGTGGTCTCGATTCATCACGGCATTGCCATTTTCCGACCGGCTTTCCCTTCCACTCCCATCCGCAAAAATGCGCCCCAGTGCGTGTTAACGAGTTCTTGTAGCATGGTGGAACCACTGCAAACTCCCCCATAGCCGTCTCTTGAATTTGAAGAGAGGGATTTGCAGAGGGAAAATGATGGAGAAGAAGATAAGTAGACTCACTCTGACAACCATACCTACATTTCGCGCTTTGCTACTCTGACGTGGCGACGCAAAATTGGCCAGACTTGATGACCTGCTTCACATGGTGGAGAAAATATTTATTGATATCAAGTGGTATCACCAACAAAAAAACATATATACAAATAAGAAAATAAACCCACCCAAACTAATAATTATTCATCCGTTAATAACTATTATTTTTTCTTCCATATAATTAAATTAGGAGTAATTCGTGTTTAAATGTACGATATAACGTAAATTAATCAATTAATTTGGAGAAGTGAGCAGTGCAGATCCTAAAGAGAGAGCGAAGAGTAAGAAGAAAAATATAAAATTCAATGTAAATGGTTTTGATAGCGATGTTGTTAGTCGTTGGATGAGTTTATTTAAAATCATCAAATAGACTTATTGAAACTTGTCATGTTTTATATTATAGATTATTTGTTAACTTATTATTTGACTTTTTACATGCAATATTTTCTCCAAAAGCAAAGACTTCGATTCAGTGCGTATGAAAGAGTAAGGGTAATTTGTATCTGAAAGTACGATGCAATGTACACCAACTAGTTAATTTAGAGAAGTGATGAATAAAGATTCCACAGATAGGGTGAAAAGTAAAGAGAGAAAGGTAAAATTCAATGTGAATGATTTTTGAGATGAATATTGGTGACCGTTAGATTAGTCTATTTGAAACTTATGAATGAACTTATTGAAGTTTGTTTTATTTTATATTGTAGATTATAGATAATTATTCAAATGACGTTCACCTTGTCAATTTTAGTATATTATTAGGGGTAACTTGTGCCTAAAGATACATTACAACATAAACCAAATCGATTAATTTGAAAAAAAAAATTACTTTAACTTGTTTTAATCATTGATTCTTGAGAGAGATGTTAGTGGTCATTTAGATGAGTCTATTTGAGACTGTCATATGAGTTTTATTAAAGCTTACTTTGGTTTACATTACAGATTATTGATTTGTGATACTATGTGACATGCTGACATTTTTTTTTGTTTAACGGTCAAAAGTGTCAGGGTCAATTTACGCATATCTCGACTAATCTCATATTCAGTCTAGTCAAAGGTATGCCTATTCATGAGGGGACTAGATTATTAATGAAGAATAAATTTCTCATGTCCTGACCCAAAAAAATTACTAAAATTTAAACTCAGGACGTCTACGTTACATATCGTCTGTATTACAATTTGAACTATTCTTGTGGTTACAATACTAACACCTTGGAATTACAATTTTATCAAATGTTGTATCTTAAATGATATGTTAAAATCTTATGCACTAAATGTTTGGTGAAAATTAGTGAACTCCACTGATCTAACCATTTATATTGATTTGAGATACAAAATTTAATAAATAATTAAATAAACATGATATTGCTCGAAAATTAGGCCAAATTTATTTAATCATTTTGCCTTAAAACACCAGAATATTTTTTTAATAAATTATTGAGTCGTGATAAAATAATAAGGATTAAAAACCCAAAATAAAGTTCAAATAGCATTTTTTTTAATACTATAAGCATCCTTCTATCTTTTAAATCTCTTTGAATTCCTTAGCATTATCTATCAATTTCAAAAATTTACAAATCTTAATAAACTAATACCTTTCAAATTTAAATTTGAGTAAAAACAAGTCAACACAGTCATTTACTTAAACTTAAACCAAATGAAAAGACACTCGATTTTTGACACAAATCAATGAAAATTCAAATCTTTTAACGGTCACATTTCAAGATCTTCTAAAAGTGGCATTCTTGCAAAACCAAATGACCAAGCATTTGTCACACGAACTAAAACTTGCAATGACTCTTCCAAAGAAATTTTTTTTCTCAGCTACCGTGAGATGCTAATTCATGAAACCCATTTCTCTGTTTATTTGTACATAAGCAAACTGCTGTACCCGAGCTTCATAATAGTTCCTCCTAAGCAGAATGTGGTATCCTCAGGGCCATTCTCTGTGCCAGCCAAGGCCTTTGTGGATCCGGATCAATGAAACTGTGCATGAGGAACTGTTCTGCTTCTTCATCCATCAGTTCTCTTGCCCAATTCACTCGTTTTGATGAGCAACTACCTGGTCCAAAACACCTGCATATTTTTTTCCATTACAACCATCCAACCAAGCCAAAAAAAATGGGAGAATCGCATGAATTTGGGGTTTTAGGGAGGAAAAACTATGCAATATCTCTCGTCACAAGGATAAAACAGAGGAAGGAGTTCAAGCTCACAACGCAAAAGTTTCTGTCTGCAATTTCATCCAATTCATTTTATGAAGTGCTTATAAAAATTTACAAGGATAATTATCATTTTTGTAATTCAAACATAATAGAGTTCACCTTTCCAACTCAATTTCTTGCTTAATCATATCATGTGTCATCCAAGCCCATAGAGGACAAATCCTTTCTTATCTTGTTCATCAATGCTGAATAATTTTATCAACAACGATGATTGTGTATTTGCGTGCATGCATGCATAGGTGCACCGTGTATGATATCTAAAACCATATTTTACAAAGTTATCAACATTTATAGAACTTCTTTAAGTCTGAAAACCAAGTACCTGTACTCGTAAAAGCAAGCGCTTCTCTCGTTCTCAGCTTTGCCCCAATTATGCCAACCAACGTGTATGATACATGCATCCATCCATGTGTATGCAAAAACCACCCTCCCAAAAGGTCCCCACGGTCGTCCAAGATATGCGTATGGTGTTCCCCCATTGCCAGTGATCACACATCTGCTTTAATAAACTATAAAGGTTATTGGTGAATTAAAACAACAGCAAAATTTACAAAACCATGCCCGATACTGTCACGCTGAAGGGAGGAACTAGGATAGTACTTAAGATGGGGCAATGTACTTAGAATCCTTTCCCATACCAGAAATCTTGTACCTTGCCTAAACTCATTACATCAGCATCAAGGCAATGACTCATCATTGTGTTTGTATAATTCTTAACATAAGTTTTCAATGAAATGGTGCTTTACAGTAAAGAGTCATATTCACAAACGAATCAAGGAATGAAGCACCAACATTTGCCATCTATTTGAATTGTCAAGACGGTTTTTGGTAGTGCCCATGGTGCTAATATCAAAATTTTAGCTGAAGTATTATAGATGCATTTATTGGTTTAAATCCCATGTAAAAATGGCAACAATGAAACTCAGAATAAGTATAGAATTGCAAAGTTCTCCAACTTTATCCAACATATAGGTCTTGGATAACAAGGAATATAGAAAGTATCGAATAACTCAAAAGTTCAAAATAACAACTTTTGGCACACAAAAATTTCTTATCTGAATAAAGTTAGAAATAGAAAAGAAAAGAAAAGAAAGAACAAGAATAAGGCCAAATAATTCAGGAAACATTTTAACATGAATCTCAACAAGACCACCCATTAACTATGAACAAATTGAAGCAGTCAAACAGATTGCTCACAATGCAAAATATACAAAAATTCCCAACACAGATTTATTTTGCCACAGTGGTTTCATATGGACAAACACGAGATGCGAAAACATTTGTGAAGTATAATATAGAAAACAAAGGAAGAAGAAGACATACTGGATCGACATTAATTCTTCCCTTGAAAATGAAATTAAGACAACTGTAGTAAAAGGAGAAAACTTCTTTTCAAAACAAGTGAGATTTCCTTCTCGATATATGGACACATCATTAACACAATCCTTCATTTTGAAAAATAATGAAGCATCTAAAGAAAGATTCGATGGCAATGGGAAAGTAACTAAATTCATTATTATCTCACGTCAATAATATGAATTGAGAAGGAAAAAGTACACAGTATAGTAGTATAGAGTTTCAAAAGTTAATCAACAAAGTCAAACTTAGAAGACGACGACATGGTAGATAGAAATTTGAAGCTAAAAGTGGTTAATCACAAACCTCAAGAAAACATAGCCAGTGGTCTCTTGAGAAGATTTCCTACTTTGGGCAGTTATGAATCCAGCTGATTTGCAATGAATATGACAGTGCTCCAAAAGAGCAGTGCTATTACCAAAAATGAAGTCCACGCTTCCTTCAATATAGCAATCTTTCAAATATTGTTTCCCATAATGCAAATACAATGTGTCCTGCAAAGAAATTACAGACGAAAGAAGCTTAAGCTAAAGGTAAAATTTCTCAATTATGTGGTTATCATTCTATCATCCTCTGAATATCAAATGCTCTGGTTTATAAGTTGTAAAGTAAAAGATTCCTGTTGCAAAGTTTATCACTCTGCCAGTCCTCTCTGAAAAAAAAAATGCTCAGACTAATCAACCAAACTGTAGATTACGCCAGTACTTTGCAAGCTATTGTCCTTGGTTATTTGGGAAGTCATATCTCTGCTTGGGACAGACCCACATCTCTACATATAATATATGAGCTCGTAGGAAAGAACATCCATTACAATTTAAGGAGACAATAAAACATTCAAATTTCTAGACTTGGTTATGCAACAACAATACATCTTGACATTTATGCTGCTTAAAAATCTCAAACTTCATGTTGAATGAGATATTTCAGACTTCTACAAATACTATGTGGTTTCATTTCCCTTGTTCCTCCTCAATGTTAAAGTGGCAGCTGCAGAATTCAATCAATAGGAGATTTCATACAATATCTGAACTGAAAGACAGATCATATTTTCTACTACTGACTAATAGCAGTGAGCGTACCTGCCACCCAAGAAATCTGCAATTATAAAATGCGGACCGATCTGCAGTCACTCTAATTGCCACAGCTTGGCCTGAACCCTAAAGTAAAATTTCATGAGAGAGATCAGGTCATGCAATTTCAAACCAAGCAATGAGAATGGAAGAAGTATTTGAATCACACACACACAGAGCCTCGAACTACAATTTGTCAAGTACCCAATAGCTACAAAAGTTAAAATCCCATAACAAATCAACTCAAATCCAACTGAAATCTCAATGGGTATTGGCAATTGAAGAGGCTCTTGCCTCAGGTGCAGAGTTCTCAAAAGTGATGTTCTCAGCTATAAAATCCTCTCCTTCCACAATGGTACTCCCACAACCAAACGTCCCAGTTCCAATAACGCGTGACGCCTGAAAAACCCACAAAACCCCTCAATTTTAAACTTTTCTCCAACGTCAAAAAGCACGATTATTATATCAACTGAGAGCGAATGTACCTGGTGATGATCGATTTGGGAGGCAGTGTTGTTCCAGGTGAGGATAGTGTCCTCCGGACGCAATCCGGCTAGGGTTATTAGGTTCTTGGTCTTGGGCACGTACACGGGTTGCTTGTATATCCCAGGCGACACACGAATCACCGTCCGGCAGGTGTTACAGAGAGGCACGGCGTCTATTGCCTCCTGCACCGTCCTATACTCCCCACTTCCGTCCTGTGCCACCGTTATCACCATGGCCATTCTATTTCTCTCTTGTTGTATCTTCACCTCTGCAGTAGATGCTATGGGAGGAATAGGGAAGGCGATGTGATCGATTGCGGAGACATAAAGTAAATCTTAAATCCATTTCACGATGTTTATGGAATGATTCAGTCCTTCGTAAAACTATTATTTCGTTTTACTTTGTATTCTTATTTATAAAATTTATGTATTTTATCTTAAAATATTAATTTTATTTTATATTATTTTAAAAAATAATGAGTGTTAATTTTTTTAACGATAAATATAGATACGAGTGATCTATATTATTAATAAACAATTGTCTATTATATATATCCATGTCAAAAAAAAAAAAAATATTCATTCCTAGACTTTATTTTTTTTGAACTTCAAATTTTTTTTTTAATCTAATTTTTTTCTCTGTTTAATTACAAAAAAGATAACATAAAAGTTGTACTAAGTACTTGATGAGAAGTTCTTTGAGATTTTTTTCTCTTCTTTGATAGATTTTCTAGTTTGTCACTCTATTCTGTAAAAAAATTGATAACCGTTATCTATCGGAGTGATATAAAATAAAATTGATATTTTAATGTGTAATTTGTGAAATTTCCTCCCGCCCCCCCCCCCTCTCTCTTTTTTTATTTCATTTATAAACAAAAAAAAGTTGACCTGAAACTTGGATTTCTATTTCAATTAACTTCTTAAATTATTTTTTCTGATTACTTATTAAGTTTTTAACATTATTTTAATTGTATCTCGTTTTTAATAAAATTTTAATGATATTTATGAGAAATAATTTGGAACATTTATGATAAGCAATTAACGAAAAAAATTAATTAAGATGCACGTAAACTAATTTAGACACATCTAATCGCAATATTAAAAAAAATTAAGATTAAATTTTGTGCCTCATATAATTTGTTATATTCAAGCTCTACATAGCTCAACCAAATTTCTGTATGGGGACATAAAGTGGGGGTTAAAATATTTTTTTTTTGATGTGTTATCTTTATTTTTTATTCAATGAAAATATGTGAATGTATAAATTGTATTATTTTTAATTACAAATTAAAAATTATTCATTTTAAAATTAATAGTTAAAATTAAAGACATGATGCAACATAAAAAAAATTGATTTCACTATATTAAATATCAATTTCTTTACTTCTCTTTCTTTAATTATATAATTTGAAATTAAATTTATCCACTATTTTTTGAAAAAAAAATCTACAAAAAATTTTAAAATATATGACCTCGAAAAAAAAATCAACATATGTACACTGTATTGTATAAACAAAAATAATATTCGAAATAAATATTATATTGAACCATAAATTACTTAAATATTAAATAATTCCACTTGTGATATAAATTTGACAAAATAAAAACATAGAAATGAGTAATATAATAAAAATAAAAAAAAAAATATGTATGAATAAAATTCAAATGTCTAACTCTCTTATTATATTAAAAAATGTCAAAACAATGGGCTAATCTCTTTTGTATTTCGAAAGATATTTCGATTCTCAAATTATCCTCTTAATTTTATGAATCGATAGTAATGTGATTTGACCTAAACAACCGTTTATTTCTTTTGTCATAAATTGAAGCATATGATGTGTAAGTGTTTGAGGCATAAAAATAAAATATGTTCATCATTATAGATTTTTATTTGTGATCAATTTAACACTATTTTATGTACCAAAAATAAAATAAAATCTATAATATAAAATAGGACGACTTAAACATCTAACGATCTCAAATCATTTCATTCATCCGACGGCCACCAACGACTGATTCAAAAATTTAATATCAAATACATTTTCCCCCTCAATTCCGTCGCTTCCAATCACTGTTCCCAACTTTCACTCCCTCTCTCCTCTCTCATTTGCCTGTAGCCCGATTTCTCTCCCCCATTCTCTAATGTCTATCTTCCTTCTTCTCTCTCCACTCTCGCTTCTTTATTTGCTCGAACAACCACCCACCACGCTCAAGCCGGCCGGCAACCCACCACAATGGAGAGCAGCGAATCAGGCTCCCTCTTCTCTCTCTATTTTTTTTTTGTCTTCTCTGCAGCACCCACGCCACGCACATCGCACAACACACACCCATAACACACTCTCTCACACCCACCCACCACACACACACACACACACACACACAAAGCATTGATCGACTGACGATGGAGAAGGGGAAGAGAAGGGACACCATCTTCTCTCTCATATCTCTCCCAGTGCCACACCCAGCCACCGCCAGCCAGTCCCCAAGGTGACGCCACACAAGGTACTCTTCGTCTCACTCTCTCTTCTTTTCTCTTGACTCCTACCCTCCCTTTTTGTTTGCCTCTGCCTCTCTTTGTTTCTCGAGATCTCACGGAATAGCATTATCATGTGCGCCTACAAGCTGTTTGATCAAATGCCCCAAAGTTCGTTTTTCTCACATGCACACATATACTATCTATTCTATAGTAAGCATAAGCAGTACTCTTCTAGAAATTATAACCACACCTGCTAAAAAAAACATAGCTATACACACGCACACCTCTATTTTTTCACACACACACACACACACACACACCTACACCTCTTCTGTTCTTCACCTTTTCATTTGGATTGGTTTGTCTCATACCCAGATTTTTTTGGGACAATTGATGCATATCGAATTAGAAAGTGCTTCATTCCACTTGGTCATTCTAGACGAATTTTGATGGTAAGGCCTTTGTTCTACTTGGCCGGCTTGCTTAATGTTTCTTTTTGATTTTTTAAAATTTCTAAAAAAAATGGCACTAATCATTTTTTTCCAGTCTTGTATTCGGTTTTTGTGAATTAGGGGCTACTTGCAGTGTGGACAATGTGGTTGGGATGAATCAACATCCTTTCAAGAAGAGCATTCCTTTTCTTCCGGCAATGAGGTGAATTTTTACGATGATAATTTTCTCTATTCTCTAATCCTTTCAAGAACTATCACACACACTGAAACTCACACACACACACACACACAGTCACATACAACTTTCATTAAATAGATGTTTGTAGGTGTAAGGGGTAGAACCCTCCACTCAGGATTTCGGCTGACCTCCGCGCGTTCGGGAGTAGCCTTTACCCCTCTTCCTGAGCCGGAGCCCTGGCCTAGCCTAATGTGGGGAGGGCGCACCGTATCCCACATCGGAAGAGGGTCGTCTTCTCCCCTCGCATATAAGCCCTTGCACTCAAAGGAGGAGGGGTAAAGGCTACTCCCGAACGCGCGGAGGTCAGCCGAAATCCTGAGTGGAGGGTTCTACCCCTTACAAAAAGGCGCCTTTTTGTAAGGGGTAGAACCCTCCACTCAGGATTTCGGCTGACCTCCGCGCGTTCGGGAGTAGCCTTTACCCCTCTTCCTGAGCCGGAGCCCTGGCCTAGCCTAATGTGGGGAGGGCGCACCGTATCCCACATCGGAAGAGAGTCGTCTTCCCCCCTCGCATATAAGCCCTTGCACTCAAAGGAGGAGGTACCCACTAGTACCTGATCAGGTGCCTAGTGGGTACCTCCTCCTTTGAGTGCAAGGGCTTATATGCGAGGGGGGAAGACGACTCTCTTCCGATGTGGGATACGGTGCGCCCTCCCCACATTAGGCTAGGCCAGGGCTCCGGCTCAGGAAGAGGGGTAAAGGCTACTCCCGAACGCGCGGAGGTCAGCCGAAATCCTGAGTGGAGGGTTCTACCCCTTACAGTAGGGTTTTCCAATTGAGATGTTTTTAGGGTTATTTTGTGTTGGCCAATCAGCCAACACCCGATGAAGTGCAGGTACCTCTCTCTCTCTCTCCAGTTGAACACACACACACAAACACAAACACAAACACATGACAACATAGATTCTTATACAACCACACACATTTGCATACAATTGGGGTTTTTCATTAAATAGGATTGTAATTTTTAGTGTTTTTGATTGAATGTTTGGTGTCAATTTCATGCAATAATATTTGTTGAGTTGATGATTATTTAGTAATAAATTGAATGTTAGGGTTTTCAAATTGAAATTTTTCATGAAATAGATTTTTTTTTAGGGTTTTGATTGAATATATTTTCGGGTTATTTGTTGTTAATTGCTTGAGATCGAGTGTTGTTGTTATTAGGGTTTTGATTGAATTAGGGAAAAACTACAGATTTCTTTGTGATCTATAGTTCTACCCATATTTTTCAAATGAGGTTGATTTCTTTTGTTTCTTTTGTTCAAGTTTCATAGTATTTTTTGTTACCCTTTTTATTGTCTATCTCTATTTGAATAAATTAGGGTTTTTAATTTTATGTTAGTTTATCATTGTTTGACTTTGTCCATATAATTCCATTGAATTTTGGCTTCAAAAGATGTGGGTCTTAATTAATTTTAAGGTCCCAGGTACACCGACAAATAAAAGATGAGGTTTTTGTGTACACTAAGAAATAAAAATTAATGTCTTTAGAGGTTGAATAATGAAATTTTTATTGTATACTTGGTGGATATATTTATTTTTTCATCATTTTTGGCAACTTCTTGCTCCTTTTTTTAATGCTTTTTTCCACAAATGGAAACTTTTGGGAAACTTTAGATCCCAAAGTTAAATGTAGGTATATTTTCATGGTAGTGCATATAGAAGTTAAAAGACCCATATTGAATGTGCTTTCTTTTTGGTGGTATTGGATTGAATGTTATGTTTTTGAATATGAAATTTCTTAATTTGATGTTGAGAGTAGCCCATCCAAGAATGAAATGGGAATTTTTTTTTTCTAAATTTGTTTTTTATGAATTGGAATTTATTGATTTGGGTGACCAATGGCCGTGGGTATGTTTGTGTTTGTGTTTCTGTGTAAGTGCAGAGAGAGTAAATAAGGAAAAGGTGTAGGTGTGTGTGTGTGTGTGACAGAGAATGTGTGAGAGAAACATGGTGATGGAGGAGGAGGAGGAGGAGGATGGAAGGGAAAAAACTTTGTAGGTGTTCTTCCTTCCAACTTGAAATCTATTTTAGTTAAACTTAGAAATGGGGATTGAACTTACAAGTAGAGTATGTTAATAAAAACAGTGGATGCATTAATTTGTGCTTTGTTTTGTTCTTGAATTGTAGGTTTCCATTTTTTATTAGTTGTTTCTTAGTTTAATTTTTCTCCTTAATGTGCAATTCTAAAGGTGGGCAC